ACCAAGCCTTTATTAGAAAATATAATCTGTCTTTAGTGTATAATGATCAGGGTCATGGAATAATCCCCTTGATATATGTGGAAAAATCTAGTTAATGTTTTTATGGGTCACAGTTGGGTCATTATTTTAACTAGGCATACATTCTCCAATATGTCCTACCTTTTATTCACACATTAATAAAATGTGTACATTAACTGGCTTTGTTTCAGTCAATGATTTTTGGACAGATTGATTCATTCCTTTTCTATCTACTCAAAAAAAGGGACAATCACCCCTTCCCAGAAATCTTTAAAAGGTGACTAATAGTAATATAAATGAAAATGCTCTCTGTTCTTGTTTTGCAAGTATTCAAATTTACTCATCTACAAAATTATATTTTGCCGCATCTTTCCAATTAAATGACACTTGTTAATATTACATATGTTCAAAATTCTGTCTATGATGACAAAATTAAAAATGGAGTGGTGTTATCACATTTCGAAGCAACTGTCTGACTTTTGTTAAAGTAGCATTAATTTATTCCACATAGAAAAAACTACAACCTGTCCCTGGAGTTCATGGTGTTTAACCACCTATAAAAATGGAAATGAATACTGCCCTGTCTGCTTTAAAGAGTTGTGAGGATTAAGTGAACTGAAATGAATACACTTTGAAGAGAAAAAATATTCTAACAAATACTAGATGCACACTGGAATCTGATAATTGCTTTGAGAAGAAGGTCCACAAGTTGATGGGATCCAGCAAATGCAACATTTCAGTCATGGAGAAGGTCAACTATTGATCCTAGTTGCTTCCCAAAAAGCTCCCTCAACATTTAATATAAAGAAATACCACTTCTACATTTCCTCTTTTTCCCAAACTCTTAAGTGGGAATATAAGACTGCCCCATGTGATCAGAGTCTTAAAAGTTTATCACAGAGAACAAAAGATGGGGAGGGAGCACACACCTGGGAGAAAGGAAGTCAAGGTAGCTAAATTACAGAGCCATGAAAATCACAGTCAATTCAGCTGAAGTGTCACTTCTAGATACTGCATTATTTGGAGACTCAGCATGAAAGCTAGGGGTCACTTATCCCTGAACCAAAACCGCTGAGTTTTGCACAGTTCTATCTCAAAATGCTGAGGCAGTAAATGTTATTAAAAATGCTTTTCTGAAAAATCAATGTGATCTTATTTTGAAAATGAATATTTATTTTATGCAATGGAATAGAAGGACTTAATATGACATGAAAGGAGTTTATTGCTTAATATGTTTTTAAAAGTGCACTTCAGGAAAATGTCCAGCATATTTGAGCCAACAGAAACATGATTACTGATGGTACTTTCTTATTACATTTGGGCCTTTTTGTTAAATAAGGATTGTAGTATGCTACTATGTATTACAATAAAAGTAAAATTGAATCCAATGGAGAATCCAGTTACCACAGGGTTTACATTCATCCCAGGGTCAATCAGTTGAGATTTTTCAGTAACAATGAAAATGAAGTAGACCTAGTTGGAGTAGTATAATAGTTTGCTATGGTTTCTTGGTCTAATGCATTTTATAATTGAAGGAACTGAGGCTAGAGAGTTGGAAGGATTAGATATAAATTAGTTTAATTTTTTTTTTTTTTTTTTACTGTGCAAGTCACATCACCAAGCTCACAGACTATATCTGAATTCTATCACTGAGGATTGTGTTTGGGTTCAAGTAACAGAGTAGTCAAATAATAATAGCTTAAACAAATAAGTACAGACATAACCATGGGTTGACATAATGACATTTTGGTCACAACGTCATAACAGTGCATTACTCACTTTTGTGTTTGTGGCATTGTTGGTGTAAACTACCCCACTGCACTGCCACTTGTGTAAAAGTATATCACATCTGATTATATATAGTACCTAATACTTTATAATAATAATAAACACCTCTGTTACTGCTTTACATGTTTACTGTATTATACTTTTATCATTATTTTAGAGTGTGTGCCTTCTGTTTACTAAAAATAAAATTTCACTGTAAAACTATCTTCTAGGATATGCTATCAACACCTATTACATCTCAGGTTTACCATGACTCCTGATTACATAAAGAAGCCATGCCAAGTGAGTGACCTACGCCATCTAGGTTCCTTTAATGACACCTTTTGATGTTTGCACAAAAAAAAATTACCTAATAGCATATCTCTGGGAATGTGTCTCATCATTCAACAAGGGTTAATTGCATTCATTTTCTTAGTGAGAGAAAGACATGGAACATGCTGGCCAGCTACCTCAAAAATGCTATGAAAGGCCCTGTCTTCCCACTTTCCATGCTTCTCATTGGCTTTTCACCTCTGATGGCAAAGGTAGTGTCTTAGTCCACTTCCTAGTTCTATAACCAAATACCTCAGACTGCATAAATTCTTAGGGAAGGAAATTAACTTGTCAGAGTGGCGAAAGCTCGGAGATTCCAAGCATGGCCTTTGTGCTGTTAGTGTTTCCATGCTGCATCAGGCTTGGTGAAAAGCCAATGAACAAACAGGTGACAGGAAATCACCCTCTTGTCTACTCCCTCCCTCAGTCACTTACCCCTCCAACAAGTTGATCCTTTTCATGAGGATGACTTGGTCCACATTGCCTCACCACCTCTTAAAGTTCCCCCTCTTAATGCCGTTACAATGGCAATTACATTTCCAGATAAGTTTTGGAGAGGACATCCAAACCATAGCAGTTTCTATATCAGAATACCATTTCTTCAGTATGTGAACAAGAGTAAGCAGAAGAAAAGGGGTAGCAAAATATTTCTCTGCTTCAAGTTTTATTTTTTTTTCCTTTTTTTTTCATTTATTTTTTTTATACTGTATTTTTTATTGGTTGTTCACAACATTACAAAGCTCTTGACATATCATATTTCATACATTAGATTGAAGTAGGTTATGAACTCCCAATTTTACCCCAAATGCAGATTGCAGAATCACATCGGTTACACATCCACAATTTTACATAATGCCATATTAGTAATTGTTGTATTCTGCTACCTTTCCTATCCCCTACTATCCCC